AGAATTCATTTATAATCGAATCTAAATCAATATCTTCAACAAGCTCTCATTTAATGAAATCATCATAGAATCTGCTAAGAAGTCGTCTTTCATTTTATTGTGAAGCACACTTTTAACATGTTTCATAGCTGAAAATACTCGTTCTGTAGTGGTAGTGGAAACACGTAAACTCAAAACAAGGCGAATCAACCTATCAATTAAATGATAATGCTGTGACTAATTTGTTTCAGCTAATCCTTGACATAATTTAGAAATGGTAGACATATTCTGAAAAGCTCTCATAATAAATCACATCAATCTGATAATACTCTAGCTGAGATCTCAAATAATACATTTTTTATTCATTGAAATCTTCAAGATAAAATTTTTTAGCAAGCTTGTAAATAGCATCAACTTTAAATGATTTAAAGTTGTCTTTAGGTTCTAAAGTAGAGCTAAATAGTTGGCGAGGCATACTTTGTATTTTTCGGAGCTTTTTCTAAGACGACATCATCAATGTCAATATTCAATATCCTCATAAGTCTTATCATCTCCAAAAAATTCCCTCGATTATTAGAAGCCAAAGATTCATCATAACTTCTAAATGCACATGCTTGTAAGCTAAACCATTGAACACTTTCAATTGTTATTATAAGTCTCAACTGATTTTTCTGAACTTCTTCAATAGTTTGTGCATTTAACACTTTATCAATATGTCTACTTATTTTCATTAAATCTTTAGCAGATTTCACAGCATTATTATGTAGTGAAGTGGAACTTTCCACATGCATAAAAAATGCATATCTAATGCCATCATTAACCCTTTTCCAACTTCTAAAGCCTTCAATTGTGAATGTGAGATAACGAGATACTTTGTTTTCAAAGATAAAACATGGAAAACAAAATACTGCATTCTTTGATGGAGAGTACTCTAGCCAAGGAAATTGATTAAACTATGTGTATTGAAATCGACGATACTATCTCTCTAATTTAATCCTTAGATACTTTGCTAACTTAAGTTGATATGGATCTATTTTGATATAAACTCTTCTAATTTCATCTTGTTGATTAATAGGATGTTTCCACAATGGAATAAGCAACCTATGATCTTGTTCAAGTGTATTAATATCAATTTCAACTCTCTAAGATTTGAAAGTGGGTTGTTCACTATGATTTGAGACATCAACATTGGAAAGAGAATGTCCTTTACTGGTTGATGTTTGTTCATTTGATTTAGAGAATGAAAACATAGTTTTTCCTCTCTTGTTTCCTGGATTTTCCATTTTAATTTAAAACCTATTCAAGCAACATGGATTAGGGAAGTCAGGTGCAAAATGAAAAGATACTAATACCATAATAGAATATTTATGAAATGCAGAATATACAAGGATAAACTAGCAATGCAAACTACTAGGATATTTTAAGAACTTAACTTTGAAATACCCAGTAAATTATGAGTACTAGACTACTCTTATGTTAGCATGCTTCAATTTCTATGGTACAGTCTATTGTTTACTCCACTAACAATCTACTGTAATGAATGTGAAACATTAAATTTAAAATGAAAAGTTAGGGCTTATAAATTCTTACATGATGATTTTATACTTTTGCGGCTCTTTGTATAGATTCTTCTTCAAAATCCAAGCTAAAATTGTATATTGTTAAGAAGAAAAATAGCTTATATCTGAAGTTATTTGAAAGACATGAAAATCAATTAATTATTTATATTTAGATAAATTTGCTATAAAATACGAGTAATTAATTAGTATTGCAAGGAAAGGTCGGTGGCTAATTAATTAGTGTTGCTAGGAAAGTAAAGTGGGCGGCTGATGACTACTAATTAATTTATGTGTTGCAAGGAAAAGGGAGACACTAGGTTTGCTGTGTAAATATAGAGAAAGTGGAACATAAGTTTGCTGTATAAAAATTAAAAGGAAAAATAGGTTATTAGATTCTTTTTAACTTGGGCTATAGCCCTCCTCAACCTTATAAAAGGCTCTGCCTCTCTCTCTCTCTCTATATATATATATATATATATTGTGTCCTCTAGTTTTTAAGAGAAAAGCTAAATAAAAAGCCATTATACTATTTCTACCAAAACATGATTTATTATAATAATTTTTTGACTAATTTTTTTTTTTATTTAAAATCTATGTTTTTTTAGTTTGTTTTTCATTAGAATTTATGTTATCATAATTCATATTATGAGTTTGACGACTTCACTTGAGTTAACTCGGATTGTTTTTTATATTAATTTTTTAATTTTATTTTTTAATATTAGGTTGAATTAATTGAGAATTGCTAGGTTATTTTTAGATCTGTCAAATTAACCGAGTCATATAAATGGTTAAAATAATTATGTATCAAATGCATTAAAATACAAGTAGCTTTTCTAAATGAATTTTTAACATTAGAGTGCATATAAACAAAAATAAAATCTCACTTCATTTCTTTTTTCACAATTGATCCCTTTCTTCGAAAGAAAAAACAAGAGGCGATACAAACAAAGACATTGAACTTATCCCCGGCTTGTCTTCTTCCAATTATCATCTCCCTAGTTACGACTATATAAATATGTTTAGCATCTTCTCTATATGAAGCAAGAGTTGGATTTAGGTTTGCTTTCACTAAGATAGAGCATAGAGACCAACCTTAATACATTAGACATAGCATGGCTTGGATATTAACCACTCTAGCCTTGATTCCGCTCGCTTTCTTCCTCCGAGTTTGGTTGTCGAAAAGAAAGATCAAGGATAGCAAGTTACCCCCTGGTCCAATAGGTTTTCCTATATTTGGTAGCTTACATTTGCTAGGGAAGTTCCCTCACCATGACTTGCATCAACTAGCAAAGAAGTACGGCCCTATCATGTATATGCGATTAAGCTTAGTGCCTACTGTAGTTGTCTCATCGCCTCGGGCTGCCGAATTGATTCCTAAGACCCATGACCTCGTGTTTGCTAGCAGGCCACCAAATGAGGCTGCGAAGCATATCACTTACGAGCAGAAGGGCTTAACATTTGCTCCATATGGTTCTGATTGGCGCAACGTGCGCAAGATGTGTACCCTTGAGTTGCTTAGTGTTGGGAAATCTGACCGGTGATGTTCTGATATTTGCTCATTGGAGGCCAAGCACACTAACACAATATTTAACGTGGTTCGACAAACCGCCTACATCCACGGGAGAAGCCATTTTATTATATAGGGAGAGAACAAGATTTATAACAATAGAGGAGGAGGAATCATCCG